AATTGTGTTGCTTAAACCTTTACAGTTAGAGTCTGACGAATGATGAATGAAGATCACCCTGAGAACCATCAGAAACTCAACAGCTCTAGACAATTAATGTTTCTTCGTTTGAGATCAAGGGCTTTGCACACTTACAGGTCCATAACAAATCGAACAAAAAGGTTTTAGGTTTTGTACCGAAATGAGTTCCCACAGTTCTAGTGACAAGTTGAAACCTGTGGAGTGTACAAGTTCGAGTTATATATACCCGCTGATGACTCCGGATAATAATTGTGGTATTTTGCCAATTGACTTAAGTTGAAAGTAATCAGCAGTAAAATTCCAAATGAGAAAGTGGATGGTGCAGTTTTATTTTAAGGTTTAGATTTGCTGGACTTCATCGTATTCCGTGTCGACGATGAACACAGCTAAGTAGTATAGATAGAGGACAGAACAATTGTTCATTATCGTCAGGTTTTCTATAGTCCTCCAGTTGTTGATTGTCAACAATACGAACTATGGTGAACTTTATTTCATGGACTGTTATCCTGATGTTACTTAAATATGAAGAACAAAATTCAGCAACTCGTTCGAATCACTTAGTCTGGTAACCACGAAGTGATCTGCAGAGATCTTCTCCCAGTGCTTTAAAACAACTCACTGACTGTCACGTACGGAGAATAAACTACTTTAATGGAAGCCATCAGTGATTGGAAATGTCATGACATAAACAAATGGTGAGGTTTGTTTGGAAAAATGCAAAATAATATGGTGAGCAGTTGGAGCTGTCAAATCGTCATCACTCTAGTTAAGAAACTGAAAAACAATTTCTTGTCATCTTGAAACACAAAATAATAATCATAAAAGTGAAACAAATAAACAATGTGATTTATTTGTAATTATTTACACAGGTGTGCCTATGAATAACAGCATTAACCATTCTTCAACATAGATCATTGCTCCTTTGAAGCGGCAATTCTCATCAACCCTCGAAGCATTTTTTGAAGATCTACCTGAAACATATGAAATGAAAGTGATTGAATAATTTTAGCCAGTAGATAGATGAAGTGAGGTATCTATTGTTTGATCGTCATTTTTAATCGAGAGAAGAGAATAGTTAGTTTTCCGTAATCGTTATGTGTGGTACAAATTTGGGGTGGATAGAATGCCGTGTAACATTCAAATTACAATAGTTGCACTATATCAGATCCTTTAATTTATCAAAAACAAAGTTAACTAACACATGAACCATCACACTCATTACGGTAGGAAAGGAATATCAGTTTCTAACAGACTGAAGCTTTAACACTGTTGTCCTCTCAAGATCCTACGGTTTATACGTGTTAAGTGATAATATGAGTCGGTAAATTTTTCCAATAACACTGAGTAAATTCTTTGTTCATTATGTAGATTTGTGTCCAATTCATTCCTAATATTCTGAGAACAAAACTCCACTTGTATATATATCATATACGTTTATTTTCTTGATATATGAGTAACGTTTACCTCATAAATGTCGTGACTAAAACCACCCGACTTTACATCATGTACATTGAGTTACGTCGAGGGAAACAATATAAAATAGAATATCACTTGTTTTACCTAATATACAAATGAAACGTCATACTTGACTGTGTTTTGTATTTAACTGTTTGAATGCAGTGTAAGAGTGTAAGTTATTGATCTTGTATTTTATAATTTACAAGAGTTTTCAATAAATGAAACTCTTATGGAAGAATATCTGTAGATTGTTCAGTGGTATTTATTGGATACATTATCAGTATATCTTCAAGTTGACAAAAGATTAAATGAAAATGGTAACTCACTTTTTGACGAAGGTTTGTTTAAGAGAATTAGTTCAAAAGTGCTGAACCTGTTTAAATATATCTAAAATAAATCAGAAGAAAATAATAGAAGTTCAATCGGAAATGAGAACTTCAATTACAAATCAATACATCGTCACATTCCTACCGGTTTCCATTTTGGTGATAGATCATGAACACGCGAATGTTACGTGACTGTTTTTCTATAAGATTTTAAACTTATTCTTTATGGTGATAAGAAGTTTTAAATGAAGTAATACATCATAATATCTGCAAAATTGGACGATTGTATTTTTGAGGAGTGTTTTCAAATTACTTTAGGGATGTTGAATGCTCTCCACTTATCCCACTCCTAAGGTCAATAAGGAGTTTTCAACAAACAGAATGTGTTAGATTTGAGCAGGAATTTCCGGAGATTATTTTGTTTATATGAAGGCATGACTGGCTAGAACTACTAATATCTTATGAAACAACTGAAATCTTAGTAACTGAGACGATTATTTGACCGTATGCATTGAATACGACTCAATAGGCGAGTTAGGCAGATGACAGTGACATAAACCATAAAATTTGTTGTGAACACAGTTATAATGCAAATCCTATAAATGATAGTAAGTGAAGTAAAGATATATTGATAAAGGAATGGAGAAGATCATTTTAAGTGGTTGTGAAAGTATGCAAGTAAATACTGGTATATAACTCTCAGAAATCTTACGTTTGCTTTTTCATGTATTTAGCTTATATTATGAATTCATTTGGTTGGTAAATAACAAACAATTCGCAAAGTTTATTCAACAATCTAATCTGACGAGTTAGTGGTTAAAATTTTCATATGCCCTTTATTTAAGTCTTTCCATACAATAATAGGTTGATTCATTTTTTGACATATGATCCTGTTTTTATTATATCAACATCACTACAGACTGAACACTAACGATAGTAATTATGCAAATTCTCAGTAAAAAAAAAGCGATTTCTACTGGAAACAAATATTCAAATGAATTTAATCTCTTCTTAAACTGACATTTCCATTGAGAAAAGATCCAATCGGTCAGTTTTATGCACTGGTTTATGGATTACTGTAGGTACTTCGATTCCATTAAACACTAGTATTTTATAAAATTCAATGTTGAGAATGAGTATTTCAGTTTGATAAGTAGACGAAACGTTGTAACAGTTGGTATCTTGAGGGAAGCTGGAACTAAAATTTAAGCAGAATAACTTGGGTGTATTTTATTCGATTGAGTGTTCGTCAACCGTTCACTACCTGTAATATTAAGATATCATAATTACAAAATTGGTCGAAATTACTGTTATAAATGAGTTTAGTTGGAAGCTGTTTTGAACACATATGACCACAGTATAAGAAGATGTAGAAGATAAATTTGAGAGACTGAGTAAGATATTGTGAATGAATATTTTATATGGAAGAACATTTTACAACAGTGATAACAACAATTTGTCAGTATCCTGGTCTCCTATCTTGACCAGTATCCGGATACAAATGACTGATACTTATGTTTATAAAAATGTTCAGTTTGAATTCTACTGTACCGTAAACTGTCAAATCGGTAGTGAAGCTCATTAAATTGAATTCCAACGATTATTTTTATGAATGATCTTGAAAACACAAAGCTTCAACAAAGAATTGACGAAATGATGGAATACTCCAGGTATGTTGACAACACTTTATTGTCTTCATCATTAACCAACATGCAATTTTCATATTAAAGCTCTCCAGCAAATCTCATCATGATGTACAGTTTATTACGGGGTATGAAAAGAACGACATGTTCTACTTTCTTGAGATTGTGATACAACAGAGGGTAGACAGTGCAGTTCAACATTCGGCTAATAGAGAAAAGTTCTTAAAATGGTCTACACTCGAATTTCAATAGTTTTTCAACCGATTACAGAAAAGCATCGGTCGAAACACTATTTTGTAGATTAGCAAGGATATATACCATTGACTAGCTGTAAGATGAGCTAGCTAGTGTTGAAAAATGTCCAAGAGAAAACTACTATCCACAGAAATTTGTTGAGAATTATACAAAAACTGAAGACACCAAGCTGGATGTGGCTACGGCAAACAAGTAACCAACATTTATTTACCTCAACTCCAAAAGTGATGACGTTGCAAGGACAATCATCATCCAGCACCTGCTGTGAAACTGAACTACTATTCCTATGTAAAATATGTTCAGCAACTCAAACAAAGGTTGACAAGTACCATTTTCATGTTGCCACCAAATATGTCCACAAACTCACATGTATCTGCAAAGCAACTTCACTGATCGGACAGAAAGGAATATACATCTCAGACATTTTGAACATATTTCAAAAAGCCTTTAATGAAGAAGCGTTATAAAGAGGACAATTACTATACATCTCTTGAATACAAAACATCAGGTTTATACGTTGGAATCCCCAGAGATGGTTAGTAAACGGCAAAGCTCCAGTTTCCTGAAGTTTGTTAAGGCCGTCTCAATCAGGCGTCAGAAGCCGAATTTCTGCGCCCGAAAGGAAATTGTTGATAATCTTCCTCTGACTCGATAGAACAAACGTTCCCTTGTTATATCATAAAATTCTGTTCAACTATTTCTTTCACATGATTACATCCTCACGTGTTTTTGGAGTTTACGTTCAGTTAACAGTTGATGGGAACCCAGAAGAATAAAGTGAATCTGTAGAATAGATGAAATGTGGCCGGCGGCGGGATTCAAAATACACGGTTTACAATATCTGGGACTCGTTGTGTGGAAGTAGCTCCAACTAAAAGTTAGTATTTACCGTGGAACTCGAACCCAGTACATTTCTTTTCTAGTACTTTATGTGCTATCCACCTAGCTATTGAGTGCAGATAGCCATTTACTTACGTAATGCACACAGGATGTACGGATGTCTATCAAAGTTCAGTCAAAATGATCAACAACAGAATCATTATAAACTAAATTTTAATAGATTCATGTTCTTCTGCTTCAATATTTGTTCATGAGCTCTTCGAGATTATGACAGGAACCATGTGTATGCAATTAATGTTTTTTGCTATTTGTGCGTGATAACACTGTGAACTTCCTTTGAATGGAGTAAATACTTGTTATGCACCGTTAGATTACTTTGATAAGTAAATATATACAAACAAATATAACACAAATTGTTAATAGAAATCTACAGAATAGATCACGTCACATTACTTACCTCATCGAAATTTGGATTTGTTTTCGGCTTTGAAATTAGAAAGCATGTTACAAACTCCTTTCCCGATATATCATTTCTTAAACATGAAAATCCCTTACCTACACGTCTGATTGTCATATCCTTGGTCAGTACCAAATGAAAAGGTAGTATGCCTAAAAATTCCTTCTCTGGTAATGAGACTGTTAAATCCAATAGAGATATATACTTAGTGAGTTGACTATCTTTTTCTAATAATTCAATCCATGGTAAACCTTTATTGTATAGCTTAAATGTGTATATGTGTGAAGCTGCTTGCTTCCTTTTATCAACTAATTTTGCACTAACATCCAATTGAAAATATAATTTTGCAATATATATTAGTTGACTTCTAAGATAATGAGCAAATTCTTCACGTACGGAAGAATAGACCAAAGTGATGACATTGTGATTGATTGAAGTGACTTTTATATTAGGCGGTTTAATTTTTGGATAAGAATAATGTAAATACTCGTGCATTTCATTAATATTATGTAAGAAGTCAATGTAATTTTTACCCAGTACTTGTAATAAACTCTGGAAACCATTATTACTCAGATAATCGACAGATTTAATACCGAATTCGTAATAAATATCTTCTTCAGGTAGACCAATAAACTCACATAATGTACTGATTATTCGTGTTAGTAATCGTGTAGAATAGTTCCGATTAGTTTGTATTTCCAGTTGTTGTCCGTTGACTATTTGTACAGCAGCCTCCCATGTTGATGGACCGAATGTCTCATCAACATAATTTCGTAGAATTTCAAATAATATACCATACATTTATTTCTGTCTTAATGAGTGAGTTAGGAGAGATTTATTCTCTCATTTGTATTTATATCATTTAAATACTCTTCGATGTACATATAGTGACCTCAAAACCAATCCGAATGAATAGAGAATTTTGGAAACAGATTTTGTTTACTCAAACAAAAAGTTTCAAATCATTATCACAATTAAAATTATTAATTGTTCTCCATTATGCTCCAACATATTTTGCCTCATTATACTTGTTAATTAAGGTCGAATTTCAAAATGAAACACTCACTTGAATGGTTGAAGATAGAGAATAATTAGACTTAGAATTCAATTTAAGTAAAGTACTTTCCTCAGATTTTACGAGCTAAATTTATTTTAATTGATGCATTGGGACTCCATCGAAATTATGGAGCCTGTACTTTTCCTAAATATTATTCAACAGTGTTATGTGGTGGTTGAAAGTGGTCTATGGGAAACCTTAAACCTAACTTTCGTACTAATGGTCACATTTTATCAAGGTGTATTTGTAATCTTGACAGAACTGTGTTTAACTGGTGGGTTGGAAGCGCGTTGCTTAGATTCACAATTTGAGATGTCTTTAATGAAATATTCCTACCACGAATGATGTCCTGCAGGGATGAGATACTTATGAATAATCTATCACCGATTAATGCCCATGCAAGTGAACATATTCAAGTATGCGAGTCAACAGCGACATGCAACTTGATCAAGCAGTTTATATTTTACAGACATATGAAACAATTGAGTAAATCATAGTTACAATTTATACATTATTCCAATTCAACTAATTCAACTAGCTGAGTAGAAACAAAGTAAAACAAGTTAGTTATGAGGCAAAATAAAAATTCAAGCTACCAATGGAACAACAACTCGATTGTTTTGATAGCAGCTCATTCAGCAAATCACACCGACATTACATACTTTTACCCATTGATTACTATGAACGACTGGGTGACCGTTATCAATCAAATGCCATTCGATAACACAGTTTACAAATTTGAGATCATGCAGTAGCAAATCCAAAAGTAGTTGGTAATTTTGATTAATTAGGAAAGACTACGTGATTACATTGTTTCAACGAAACACACACGCCTATAACCATTGTGTTGTATGAAACGATATAGAGAAGAAAATTGAAAAATTATTCAGGGCGTTACTTTTTGTTTTTTATAAGGAAATGAAACAAAGAAAATAACGTCAATTAAGTTTACAATCAGAAGCTCCAATCGCTTATCCTTTTTGAAAATTTCAAGGAGCTCACACTCTGTCATTTCTACGACAAGATAAAATAAGTTTGTAATGTCTCCTGTCAAAAAACATGAGAAACCCCCAATCAACAATTATCCAAATCGCTTACTAAACGAATTGCAGATTGCATAACTAGATAAGTGTAGATGAAAACTAAATGCATCTGATTGGGTGAACAACTATCCTGTAACAGATTGCATTTATTCTGCCATAATTCGTTATGTTTTTATGGTGTTCTATCCTTAACATTTTGAAGTTTTCTACAATCACCCATGAGAATCTGTGAGTATCTTGGACGGTCAGATCACTCCAGTCACACAAATTCTGGTGGATATAAAAGGATAAATGATGGTAAGATGGTGATTCTACATGAAATGAAAAATTTATTCATGTCACGAAATCTAGATTTCATGAAAGAAATAAAGAAATATTGATTAGTCGATGAGAGGGGTGTCACCACTCACACAAATGTATAGTCTTCAAATCAGTTGAAACCACTCTCTTTATGTCTTTTAAGAGCTCCTCAACTCAGAAGACAGAAATAACAAGAAATTCAAAGGAACTCTAATAGGACACCACTAATCTCGAGAATTCCTTGAAGAGACCGAGACAAACGTTGAAATATGCGACCATGAATACTCAGGAACACAGAACAAGTACAGTGAATATCAATCCACAACGTTAAATACAGATTCATATCATTGTATCATGTGTTCAGATGTTGTCGAATCAGACGGTCAAATTATAAAATGTGGATGCATTATTTCCATTGACGATATGACATACAAAACGCCTGGCAAGCATTTCAATAAAAATCTCAAATCACTAACTCTTTGATAAAGTGGGGCATCGATTGAAACAGTGATTCCTGTTGGGTTGTAAAGACTTGTTATTTCCTTGTTATACCTCAAAATGATGAAGATAATTATCATTCATCTACAAGCTAGTGTAGGAGTAGCGAGCTGGGGGTAAAGATGCTTGAGAATGAACGCAAAAATTAATCTTAGAGGGGAAGAAAACGAAATCATCTATCGAATAGTAGTGAAAGAAAATAATTTTAGGAGGCACCAGTTGATATTGTTTCTTAACATACTGTCGAATCAGTCAGAAAATCAAGATCAGGTTTAAACGGTCTTCCTTGCGCGTTTGCCGATTCCAATTACTTACTGTTTGAAGTGGTCATTTTCGAAGCACTAAACAAGTGAGTGTGTGTTAATAAAAAGGAGTTTTATGGAAATACAATTTTCGTGAGCCGACTGTGTGGATTATGTCCAAGACAACCTTATCTTGAGGAGACCAAAGAGTTCATAATATTGTAACCAATGTGAATCGATGGTCACCGTTACTTTAAATGAATGATGTAAAATGAGTTAGGTACTTATCGCCGGTCTGAAGGAATTATTGTACCACCTTTTCTAGTAATGTAAAGTCGAATGTAAACCAAGTGTCGAGAAAAAACGAATATATTCTGATTTTTGAGTGGAATATGTTAAAAATGTAGTCAAGTTTACCATAAGTTTTATGATGATTATTATTACAACGTATTTTCACCCTATCTAGTGGTTTAACTCTTGAGTGAGAAGTAACCGAGGTCTAAGAGTTGTCTAATGATCATTTATTAGTCTGTGAACAATAAATTCACAGAAATATCATCAAGCTCGATTAATGTGTCGAATTTGGAAGAATTTTAGAATATTTTCTAGTGAATACAATTCCATCCAACATCTTGACCGACATTTTATCATATGAAGTGGTTTCAATGACGTAGTCTTGAACGAGTATGATGTGTGTTAGTTAGCGAAAGTGAAATATGATTAGTTGTTAAGTGTGTGAAAACAGCCGCAGCCTACGAACTTTTAAATATTCGGTTTCCCTTTCTATCATTGATTTTACTGAAGACTGGCTGAATGGGACTGCTTGTAATTGTTTTGAATAAAGTATTCACCTGATTCTCCATTTTCAGTCGTGAATCTTAGTTCCAACATAGCATGATTAGTCTTACTGTCGTATTTACGTGTTACAGTAATGTGTATGAGAGAGAGAAAATATTTTAAGCATCTGTTATATCGGAGTCAGTGGCATTTTTCGACATATGTATTTGCAATGTATTGGTCAGTCTGGTGATCCGTACCTATTAATTACATGATTAGGTCATTACTTTCATTATGCGGTTTAGTGTCGGTTGCTACGTCAAGCCGATATAGCTTATCCTACATTACGAACAGGAAAATCTATTCATTCTTCTTCAGTTACATGTTAAACTTGTTAATTATTCACTTATCAACCTTGACTGTTTTCATATGAGTGCATGTGCGTGCATTTCTTATCTCACTCATCACATGTATGTAACTTATTTTTAACTGACTACAATTGTCGATTAACGCTTGGTTAAATCGAATTGGCTCACATGCATTCTACATCGCGCGTCATTTTGCTTCGCTTGGTTTATCCGATCGTTTGTCTGGATTAATGATTGTATGAAACACACGAATTCGACGTCCATTCTCGATTTATTTAATTCCGTAATTCACTAACACGATTTAAGTCGACAATTATATATGAGGATTGACGATATGTATATTTCAATAGCAATCATTTACAGGATCAATCTGGAGTCAGATATAGGATCACTAAAGTTTCGAATAAAATTTATTGACTTAAATCTGACACCGTTTTGAGCATAATTTTGAAAATTCAATCTACTACACCACACATTTAATGTAACTTTAAAATGAAACCATTTCATTGTAAATTGATAAATTGTTTAATAGTTGATTACTTAATATGACGATAATGACCAGTCATTATGACTTTGAACTAGTTTGCCTGTAATAGTGGAGTTGTTAAACCTGATTATATTGGAAATATAAACTCTTAGTAACTAGAATTAATCTTAATGTCATTTACGTTTGTAGGAATGAGATCACCCGTAAGATGCGGTAACGTTAATCTACATTAATTCAGTGAACAATCTAACCGTATTCTCACTATTTCAGTTATACATGATATTCAGTTATGAATATATTTGTTTGAAAATCTGTTGTTATGTTCTGAACAGTAAAATACATCATCATTTACCGCTAGTGTTTGTTTCTCTAATTTTGTCGAGTAATATTCCAATTTTCTCAGTTATTTGGAATATAACTTCAAGTATGATAGATATTTAATGAATAAGTATCATCTTGTAATTGTCTTCTGAGAAAGATAAAAATTAAGGCGAATTTATTTTGTTTTTCTGTTAGGAAGAAATAGTGGATGAGCACTGCTGAGGAGTCCCATTCTAGGACAAAATGGTCGTCCACTGCTCCCAGGTTTTCAGTTGTGTTCTGACATTTATCGGTTCATGATCTCGACTTAAACATAACAATCTCCACAATCCCATGCTGATGAGAATTGGAATAATTATACTTCATCATGTTTTTAGCACAATATCAGAGGGTTTTTTCATAAACAACTAAGTACGTGTGAATGAAACAAGTTAGGAACAAAAAATATCGAATCCAACCATTAATAAGTAGAAATAGGAACTAAAAGTGTGCAGTATCTTCCTTTCAGAGATATGTGGATAATATTAATTAGAGGATAGATAAATATACCAAGGATTCACTATGTTTAGTTGTGAAATATCAACCAAATTTAAGTTTTTCACAAAGAATGATATGAAATTTGCTTATGTCTATTTTCAAGTGACACAGAAATTCAATGTAAAAGTAAATACATAGTTATTGTAACATCGATTACATAGACTAATACTC